TCACATAGATTCCTTATATCACACACGGTCTTTGTTTTTCTTACGAGTTACATATAACACACTGACAACGACCAAAGTTCTTCAACGTGATAAAACTCTATATATGCCGCGTTTTTAAAAGGACGAACATATATATATTTAAAATTTCTCTTGATGCCTAATGTCTAAGGGACAACTTTAAAGTTTCTCATTTAAAACTTTGGCTTCCGACGCACACTCGTAGTAGTATATAGATTAAAGATCCTAACATCTAACAGTCGTTCTGGTCTACACTGACTGGCGTCTTGGGCCAAGTCCTTTAAAGCTACGTAGAAACTGGGGCAGTAGACAAGGACGAGACGACGAGGACTAGAACAGGAATGGAACTGGACATTAGTGTAGGAATAGTACAATCGAGATAGTATGAACATGATAATGGGAGAAAAAAGGATGAGCTAAAGAATACGAGCGGAGAACGTGATCGGAAATGATATTTACAAGCGATAATCTCTTAGCGTCGATCGAGTTGACGAATAAACTAGTGAAACTGTTTCGCAATTTCGGGAGGAAGTCCTGTCTCCTGTCTCCTCGCATCCTGCCACCTATCGGGAGTCCGTAACACGTATCCTTTCCCAATGAATTTCACTCCTCTCCTCCTTTCCAGCGCTCCCCACTCAACTCCTTTTATCCCGTTCAAGCTTATCTCCTATGCCCTCATCTCTTTTCAGACTGCGAATTCACGAATGGACGGATAAAAGCTCTCTTCGTCCTAACTGGCATCTGCGAATCAGAAGGAAGAGAGCAAACGAGGAGAAGAATGAGACCGTGTTCTTCCTGGCAAACGGCAACGAGACCGCGAAGAATCTGACGCGACGGAGGGAAAGCGCGAAAGCGGAAGTCTCGTAGAATGAACCTCATGAATATTGTGCAACCGAAATGCACAAATATTAGGGGCGAGAATCGGTAGAGCGCATGCGCACTCGCGTACGAACTCTCATCACTTGCTCGCAATGCTCTTGGAGGACTTTGGTTTCGCTAGACAAATGTAGCCTGCACTTACATCGCACCCTGACACGAGGAGGTTCATAAGAACGCTATTCGATTGCTGCCGAGGATTGGGACTCTCGGTTCCACCGTTAGTACCATTGGTGCGATCAGTCCCACCACCACCACCACCACCACCCCCACTGCCACTGCCCTCGTCCCTGTGTCCTAGAAGTATCCTAGACTTTGGTATTTGCTGGGACATCAACTGCTGGAGCAGCTGACTTCCCGCGCGGGCTGACAAGGCAGTTTGTTCATTAGCAATGCTTATTCGATCCTGAAGGCTAGATGAATTTGTCTCTTCGCATTTGATTCGTTTATTCTCGTTCTCGAATGATGCGCTCGGCGTATGAATTCGCTTTTGGGCGTGTTTTACCTTAATCTGCCGACTATCCTCATTTGTGCCTAGAACAGATTAAGGAAAAATGGCAGCCGTTACGCAACTGATATGCATCTTCTTATCAAATGACAAGGTCTCTTTTAGGCACTCACTCTTTTTATAGGCCTGCCCAAGGACATCGGTTGGATCTACCAGACCTCCGCCATGATCATTACATTTTTTCGTTGATTTAGCATCCGTTTTAAGTAGTTGTGCGAGGCTGGAACTCATATTAGGTTCTTGCTCCTTGTTTATCCTATAATAGTTCAAAATTATAAAATACTTTTATTACAAGCTCCAATAGTTCTCGACGTCAGCTCGTGCCATTACCATTTGGACTTTTTGTCGGGCGGCTGTGCTGGGCCCCACATGACCATATCGTCACTGATGAGAAGCTGCAGAGCCTCGTCCTGATCAGACATAGGGATATAAGGCGCTCTTAAGGCCAGTTCATCGTCCGCAAGAACGTCACTGATACTCAGCATCAACATCTCATCTTCAGAGAGGCCACCGCCGCTTCCGCTTCCACTAGGGCTGCAGAGCGAGTCAACACTCCGCTCCGGACTCTGTAGGAAAAGTAACATTGTAAGAGAAGCATAGATACTTTTTGAAACTGGAGGCGAAAAACAGGAGAAAAGGAACTCTCGAAAGCAGTGCCACGCTTACCTTGCTAAGAGCTGGTGAGAGTAAATTCGGAGTAGTACTACAGGGACTTGGAGAATCTCTGTACATAAAGGGATCGCTGTCAGCTAGACTCTCTCCGAGTTCTCTGTTTCCAAGGGAGTCACCCAAGTCAGTTTCCTTTAAAGCCGAATCTCCAAGTTCCGAGCCACGAAGTTCGGAGGGCAAATCAGGACTCAAAAGAGGACAATAATTCTCGTTGCTCAAAATGAATTCGTCGAGCATGTCGGAGAGGAATGGAGTGTCTTCGAGCGGTACGCAGACGTCTCCAGGTGTTGGCGCCAAGTGAGTAAGATCTTCCGGTTCGTCCTTCAACACTAAAAAAAAATAGAAGCAGTCAAGATTTCAGTCCTGAACTCGCACAAAAGTTATGATGATGACAAATTCAGGAAGAAGAAATACAACCTTTGTATCCTAACTGGAAATTCAAAGAAATATTATTAGAGTTTTGGGCGGTCGGTTGCGCAATACCGCTTAAGGAGAAGTGTCATATAGGAACACACACTGTACTGACTCAAAGCAACAGAGAAAAAAGATATATAGGTTTGCGTGTGTGTACGCGAAAGAGAAAGACAGACTAAAAGAAGGATAAAAGCTTCCACTAGAGATTTCAACGGCGACCTTGGCATCCATTTATTATAATTGCCCCTAGAACACACGTCCCACGTGATGCTATTGCGCGCTGCCAACTGTCTCTCTCTCTCTCTCTCTCTCTCTCTCTCTCTCTCTCTCTCTCTCTCTCTCCCTCTCTCCCCCTCTCCCCCCTCCCCTATTCTATGTATAACAGTCTGATTTTATTTACTCCATTATTCTTCATTGAATCTTAAGATTGATATTAAATTAGCAAAATGAACTTTGGTCTTAAAAACTGTAAAAATCGACCGTTCCCAGTGGACGTATCAATATCGGGAAATACGTACTGGTAAGGCCAGGGTGATCCTCGCTGAAAGTGAGAAAGCCTTTGTTCATGTCCTCGGTGCGAGGCGCGAAGATGCTCGCTGTGGCAGTCTGAGGTGGTGGACGACTTGGCTGTTCCAGAGGAGGAGCCGGGGCAAAGAGGCTTCTCGTAACTGCTTGAGGACGATTCCGCTGTTGCAGCTCTGGACTGTAGTCCAGTATCGGTTTTCCCTGAATAAAGATTTCAGAATAAGTTCTCCTGACCTGGTTATCCACCGAGACTCCGCAGCTTGTCACAGGCCCACTACCTGGAATAAGTGCGTCGTCGGTTTTGGAGGAGCAGGATTCTTCTGCGGCTGGACTTCAAAGTCCTTGCGAAGTTCGGGCTTCGGAGCAAATATCTTCTTAGTAGTAACCACAGGTCTTGGCGCAGGGATCTTCTTCTTGGAGCTTTCTTCCTCCTCTGAGGATTTCTTCTGAGGATGGAAGAGGGAAGCTGTCACGGCCTGAGGTCTGGGACGTTCCGGAAGTGGAACCGAAGCCAGAGGATTTTGCACTGGCAGCAGTTGCGCAGGCGCTGCGTTCACCAGCCCCGGAAGCTGCTGAAGACCGGATGGCTGCTCCAGATTTACGGAGCCGCGAGCCTCCAACTGACGTGCACTATAGACTTCATCCTCACACTCGACTCCGCTGAAACAGACAAGCAACGCAAACATGGAGCCACCTCCTCTGAGTCGTACGATGCGCCGTCCGAGAAACTAAACGACCTTAGATCACAAGGGAAGAGAAATACCCAAATGCTTGCGACTACTCAGGTACAGAATTTACTCTTCCATCGAAAGTTGCCTGCTCTTGCTGTTTCGACTTGCCTACCGAGAAACAGAACTTAGGACGCTCGTTAAGTGAGTTTAACCAGTCACGACGACTCGGTAATTGCGTGGAATTGACCAGCGACATATCTGGGTACGACCAAGAACCGATACAGCGTCAATCTGCGAGACGTCGTTGCAGTCGGATCATCCGAACCACTATATTAATGGTCATGCTAATTCGGACGACTTTTACGAAAACGAATACTCTGACTAAATGAAAGAATCTCTACTGGTTTATGAAAATCTCGTACGCTCGATTGCTCAGGCGGGAACCGATGAGCTAGCTCGTTGATCCGTAGAGATAAAGCAAAGTGCGATTGGAAAAGATCGTGAACCGCTGGAACGTCTGGAACGTCGAGTCGAGTGAAGCCTAGTCAAATATTAAGATGACCAAATATGCCTATGAGATTGATTTAGTTCGTCCTTCTCCTTTGCCTTTGATATCGCGTTACCGTCAGCATGTACTAAGCAACGAGTTCAATGTCAGACTTATGTATGAGCGCGCGCACGTTGTCGGTATCTCCTACCGTTTCTGGTCGCTCTTACGAGGCTGCTAACACGAATGACAATCTAGGTCTAATAATGAGCCGACCGATTGACGAGGGACGACGCCTTAGCGACTGTTTGATACTGGAAAGTTTTATGGAGCAACCAGAGGCGCCTAATAACTCCTGTTACTTCAAGTGGCGCGAGTATCGCGAGTGACACGACGCTCTGCACTAAGTTCTTTCGTTCGCGCTGTACTGCGACGCACTACCAAAAAAAAAAATACGTCAGCGCCTGTTCGCTGACTGGAGATTCACCTGACTTCTAGTGCCTTTACGTTTCTGATAGACGTAGGTCGCCACGATATTCCGCTCTTTGGGGCGGCTATCCATTGCTCATTGCCTAATTTCAAATAATGAGAAAAGAACCTTAGCCAATCTTTAGCCCGTTTACGTATAAACTTATCAGAGTCCGATGAACTAGGGAAACCCACATTGACTTTACGTGATCGATCGCGTCCCAATGTGAATGAACGAAGGATGGGCGAGCATTACGTGCGAGTGTAGGATTTGAACGCGACTCTTTTCGACTCGCTCGTTACAGCTGGCGGAGGTTAGGGCAGGTTAAATATGTAGCAAGTGTTGCTGTAAATAGAGTGACGGTCAGGCGATGAATCTCTTGCGTAATGGAGCACGTGTGGTGTCCCTCATTTTTCCCAACCATCCCAATCCCATTCCTGCCATTTCTGATTCGATCGATCTTCCTGTACCTGATGTTTATCTTACTGCTCGCGGAATCTTATTTCACCCAACCCCCCGCGACCCCTGTGGTCGTCGAAAATTCGATCGAAAAAAAAAGGGAAAAAATTTTAAAAAATCACCCGAAATAAAAATATTGTTTGTCGCTGTTGGAGATTTGCGGAGGCGGCGCTTAATCTGCGCGGTCGGCGAACTTCGTGGACTCTAAAGCGATCATTACATAACTTGGCGAACAACAGGTACACGTTGCCGGCTCCCTCTAATATTATCGTCGCCATTGCCGTCGACACGATCGATCGCACGACATTCCAATTGCACCTGATACTCGCCAATCGGTCATGGCCATTCGCCACCGTCCGAAAGACAATAATGCCAATAAGTCGGAGATCACTGTTTGCGCGGATACTGCAGATTATGGCTTTTCATTCCATGCGGGGGAACGGAGTGAAAATGTCCCGTTGAGGAAACTTCCTGCCTGCGCGGACCTTGACCACCAATGAATCGAGCGCCGGGTTGTCGTTGATCTCTGATGTTTTGACAACACTTGACTAGCAAAGGGCCAAAGGAAGAAGAAGAGTAACGTACGGCTGCATGAGTAACAAGGAGAGAGTGTACACACGTAGAGAGAGAGGAGTTGGAGAGAAGAATTTATCTGATTTTCGGGCTATTGCACTAACAAGCAAGACACACGCAGAGGCAGTCTCTCTCTCTCTCTCTCTCTCTCTCTCTCTCTCTCTCTCTCTCTCTCTCTCTCTCTCTCTCTCGCTCGCTCGCTCTCCCTCCTCGTCACTCAATAAACTTGTGACTCTTGTGTTGTATGTGTGCTAAGCCACAGCGATAACGTGGAACAGACGATACGTGGAACATGAGAAACATGAGATAGCGTATCGCCGGTGTAGGTGAGCCGATGCGCCAAGTCGAGAAGTTGTAAGAGCTTCGCGTTTGAGACCCCCACCCGCCCCACTTCTCACTCACTCGCACGCAGCCTTCGCCGTATCACACGTTCGTGCTTTCTCACTCTCTCACTTTTTTACTATGTAGTTGTCCATAGAAGCCTAAAAACGACTCATCGGCATTCGAATGCGATCGGAAAGTTACGTGAAAAAAAACAAACTGGAAGATGAAGAGAAAAAATGAAAAATGTGATCCTCAGTTCGACCATCGTAGTTCTCTATTTTCTCTCTCTCTCTCTCTCTCTCTCTCTCTCTCTCTCTCTCTCTCTCTCTCTCTCTCTCTCAACTCACTTGTATCGACTAGCCAGAAAGTGGGATGATTTATTTTTCTTAGTTTCGGCTCCTCCTAGCTCCGTCTTCTTCCTGTTACGTTAGATTCTTCGTCTGACCTCCACCACCTTCCGTTCATCCCAGTTACTTCAATGATAGAGCAGAATGAAGTGGTAGTAGGGGACTAACAGGTGGCGCAGGATTTTCATTTATGACGAGACGCAAGAGCAATCAGAGAGTTATCATGAAAAGTCAGTCTGTTTCGGACGCTGAGAAAATGATCAGTCCCGTCCACACGACAGCGTCGATTCCATCGGCCTCGCGACTCACTTTACGCCAGTTATCGCTGATGTGAAAACACCGCTGATATATTCAGTTACGGCTAGTAGAAGAGCGAACAGTCTCCCAGCCTCGTCCCCTCTGGCTGTGATCCTCTCTTACTTTCCTGCTGGCAATTTGCAGGAGAGGGCCAAAGATACGCCGAAATAGCATCGGGCAGCCATGGGAGCGAGCGAGCGAGCGAGCGAGCGAGCTATCGCGAAACGCACGCGTGTGCGTGACTCCAATAGAAATTTTATGGAGGCTCAGCCGGTTGGGTTAGCGACGCGATGTGTTGCAGGGCTAACGTCGAATTTAAAAATACCCGAGGAAGCAGCGGTGCGGGCTCGTAATCCCAGACATTCCCACAGTCGCTAAGCGTAAGTCCACACGGCGAGTTGCACCGTTCGCAGCCAAGGCTCGTACGCGCGACAAGAAGCTACAACTTTGTACGATGCCGGCTCCGAAAGTCACTCGGCGTCTCTTGCAGTCACCCACTGACAAATCCTCGAGCGACTTCAGCCGAGAACACAATTCTGGCCCCTCGCGGCTCAAGGACACTTCGTCCAGGTACCGATTGATCCAAGTCCAAGATATCTTTTTCAAATTCTTCTTTGGGAACTCGCATGAATAATCTACAACGTGCCGAGGTGCACCAAGTTCAAAGTTACATAAGAGCTTCGGTGGGGAAGAGACAAACCGAACGGGTCAAAAGAGGAACTGAACCGAGACGCGTGTTTGTGCGTATCGGTGAGTCAACCGTTAGTCGAGTTCTCAATAAACGACACCCGGAGCTCCACGCGGTCCCCAACAGATTATTAACAAGTTTGAGTTTTCGATGGCAGCAAGCGTTTGGCTGCACCCTGCGACTCCGCTTGGGAATGGGTATCGCTCGTACGTTCGTACGCACACGTGTTTACGCACGTACGCATGCACGGGATCACGCGAGACGCGTGCACTCTTCGGTCCTCGTACCTTTGATCACTGAAAACTGCTCAATGTCTCGTTCTGACCCAAACTCCCTCCCTCCCTCTCTCTCTCTCTCTCACTCACTCTCGGCAACCTATCGCACACTCCCCGCTAGCACTCCCTCTCCTTGCAGCCCCGATGCTTCTCTTTCGTCTCTCTATCACTCTCGCACTGTCTATCTTTATCACTCGCAGCCACATAGGTTCCCTCGTAGGTGCCAGCGCGCGACTGATTCTCCTCCAGTGTTATGCATCTGACGACCGGCAATTGGCAGCACGGATAGCGAGAGACCGAGAGACCGAGAGACCGAGAGACCGAGAGAGCGAGCAGACTGACTGGCAACGTAATCGACACTCGGGAATCGACAACCGGCAACAAACTCGCGACGTACGCAGCGTAGGACTCGCGGATGCTGTCTCGCGTCGAGCTCCCGTCGACGCGGAATTTTGATCTTCGTGAACCGGCAGAGAGTGAGTGAGTGAGTGAGTGAGCGAGCGAGCGAGCGAGCGAGCGAGCGAGTGCAAGAGAGCGAGTGAGGCGAGGAGCAGCACCGTCGACCACCGAGTACTCGACGCCGTGGGGCGCTCGTCACGTGATCCATCTGTCTTTCTTTCTCTACCGGAAAGTCTCCAGTCGCATACTGCGTACGTAGATCGCGGCTCTCGGCTTTGGTTTCGGCTTGGCCATGTCGTCTACGTGAAACCGTTCTCGACGCTAAGCGTCGATCCTCGTCGAGACTATCAGAAAATGCCAATGCACTTGTGCATTAGGATATGTCTCTCTGGAATTGACTCCCTGTTACTCTTTCAGTTACTCCCTGTTACTCATTATTATCTAATGGAACCTCGGAAACATTTGGGATCCGTACACATGTACATTACACTGTGTTCAATATAATTATTCTTATTATTATAAAGAATCTACTCGTTAGGCTCGAAGCGTTTGCAATTAAAGATAGGGAGGAAAGGCAGACGTCGTCGTAGAAAATAGAAAGGTAGTGCGGAGGGGGCGGCAAGGGAACGAACCAAAGAGTGCGCTTTACTTCGTTCGCTGTTTCGCATCGG